CAAAATCGGATTAAAACGAAATGGGGGCCTTTTCGGAATGGGGTGTAATATTTAATCATGTGAACAACACCAACGTCTCGTACATGCGGTCACGTTACTGTAATTGCACACATCGAACGCTGTACGACCATAAAAAGTGACTAAAAATCATGGAGATCGATCTCTTGGGAGAACTAAAGTTTATACAATGAACGCTCACACGAGAATCTCTCAACTTGTCCTTCTCGCATCAAAATCTAATGTCACATGCTCCTCACGCATAATTCGTTCCTCCTTACCCGCGCTTTCTCTTAAGCTTTTTCATAGACAATCTTCAACAATTACTCCGGCATTCCTTGATACGATCCAACCTTTTCTCCAAGAACGTTCTAAACCACCTACGTCTTCATATTTCACTGGCAAGCCAGCGTATTATGATTTGCTTATACAACTAGACGACTTGATATCCAAGTATTCAGCCTTTCCAAAGCGAGAAAAACCACCACTGGCCACTCTGTGGAAACTCAACGCAGTCTTAAGCCAGGAACTCGGCGTCTCTCTGAAGACCAGCCAGTACAGTAAGATAGTTCAAAAGCTCAATGAACTCGATTTAGTCGAAGCAAGTGAAGTAAAAGAGTTTCTCAAGCTATTCAAACGGCATTATCAGTTAGTAGACAAACGAGAAGAATTGGCGTCGAGCAAGCATGGACAATTGGATGAATATAAAAGAAGTCTCACAGTTGGTAGACGAAAAGAAGCGACCGCGCGAGTTTTCTTGATTAAAGGGACAGGAGATGTTAGGGTCAATGGACGTCCGCTAGCGGATTATTTTATAAAAGCAAAAGATAGGGAAACCTGCATCTTTCCGTTTGTAGTGACTGGGACTGTTGGGCAATATAATGTTTGGGCTCTTGTCAAAGGAGGTGGACCAACGGGTGAGTGATGGAGAGATGTAGAATTTATTTACCAGTAAAAGACTCGAGCTATGTGGAATGGATGAGAGAATAAGTCGATGTCGATTATAGGACAATCTGGAGCAATTGCTCATGCTATTACCAAGGGCTTGTTAATTTATAACTATGATTTCAAACCCATTCTAAGAAAAGGTAAATTTCAGCAGTATTTTCTAATGTTAATATATTGGTTTGCAACCCAATTTGTAACTCGAACAATCCCCCTTTTGAAAGCCAAACTTGTTACCCGCGATACACGAGTCGTCGAACGGAAAAAACCCGGACTTGCCAAAGCGAGGAAGAGTTATACTTGGTATGGTAGTCGTGTTAAACTTTCCGTTGACTTTTGAGCTTACTCGTATCTAACGCGTTTTATTATTCTACAGGGTCAAGCGTTAATAAAAAGTTGTCATCGTATGGCGATCATCAAACATTTGCTTCAACCAAGTCTTTTCATTAATTCGATAGAATTGTTTACAATTGAATCTGGAATCGCATCTCACTCCACCATCATAAAACATCATTTGAATGCAATGCGTTTTTCTTAGGAAAACTATACGTTTCCGCGTGACAATAACTTTATTCAATGCAACCACAGTGACTGGCACCATATAAGATTCGCCATTGTATGCATTTCCGTCTTTCAATCTGAGATTGTATGTTTCGCCATTGTATGCATTTCCGT